ACCACGCGCCGGCCGTTGACCGGCGGCGATTTTCCAACGTTGTCAAAAAATTATGATTTTTCACAGGTACATGTGGAATTTCATACTGATCATCACGGTATGTTCCGTTTTCCGAAACGAGTTCAGGATTGGCCGGAATCTGCGATTTTCCGAGCGACTGGCCGGAAATTGCGATCGCCGGTGATGGCGCGTCCGGAGTCGGAATTGGATGATTTTTTAGTCGCAAGTAAAGGATGCGTCCCCTTACAATACTTGCCCAGTAAAAACTGAGCCCAAAGTGACCTCTGAGATCGGAACAGCCACCAGAGCTTCATGGAGAAGGTGTCCACCACATCCTGTAATCTCCTAAAGCCGAGGCCTCCCTCATCAGTAGGAAGGCAAATTGCCTTCCAACTCCTCCAATGTAGACGTCGTGCTTGATCCTTAGAATCCCATAGGAATCGGGCGAAGATGCTCTCAAGTTTCTTCAGCACTGCCTTGGGCGGTTGCATAATCTGAAGAAGATGTAAAGGTATGGAAGAAAGTACTGACCTCGAAAAAGGTTTTAATGGTTTAGGGGTTTAGGGTTTAGGGTTTAGGGTTTAGGGTTTTTTTTAAGCAAATACCACTAGTGTGGTTTATTTTATATAATGAAAAGCGGGAAAACAAATAGAGGAGGGGGGCATGGACCTGACCTCCAGAAAATGTAAATTGTAACAAATATTTGAAGATAAAATGCAATCACAGTAAACAAGATACGAACAAAAACTAATGATAGGTACTCAAGGGTATTCCCGAGGGTAAATCTTCGGGTGGTAGTACATAGACATTGATCGAGTCACGCGTCTGGTTTGAAACATTTCTGGATCATAGTAGTCTGCGATGTCTGGCTCACTCGTTGGAGAGGGGTCTCGCCTGCGTGTAGGAGCCCGCTTTGTTGATAAGTACTGTTCAGATGGTGGTGCACTGAATGTCGGGCGAAAAGAGGGTGCATCTGATCTCATTGTACTAGTCGTAGGTGTGTCTAATCTCATGGTGTTCTGTGCTACGACATCTGAATCGTGGGAGATTGACCTGCTTGCTGTAGGGACATCGTCTTCCGCATTTTGCATGCAATTTCCAAGGCCCATGCCATCCATGTCTCTCGGTATATGTTCTTTCACCTTATTGTGTGTAGGAGCTGTGATAGAAGGACTAAGTGAAGGTGTCTGCGTAGGAGTCTTACTCACAGAAGGTCCCTCCCCAAAGAGCTTAAAAACCAAGTCCTCAATAGCAAATCTCATGGTAGATCCAACTTTCATTCCATGGTCCTTCTTAAAGTGATCAATCAGCATATGCTTGACACCATGTCGCTCTGAGCTGATCTCAGCCAACAACCCCTGTGCAAGAGTGGTTTGAGGAACTGTCCCAGTACCTGAACCCTGCGCTGACTGAGTACTATCTGTGTGTCTTTAATGGTGGAGAAC